TATGCTATTACTTATTTATTAAGGCTTTAGTTTATTTTAATATGTACTCTTAAAATCATGTAATATTTTTAACAGAGTCTCTTAAAATCGTGATGCCTTGAAAATCTCCAAGAATGAATGTGCAGTCATGAAATGACTGAGTCAGGAAACAAGGAGGGTAGAGAGCCAGTGCTCACTGGCTGCTCAACTCACTCTATGAAGACAGTGAACCAAACCCAAAGTTTAAGCCCCACTGGAGTGTGATCATATCTTGGACTTGGATCTTTAACAGCATGTTTACTTTACATGACCTTAGACATGTTACAGAAGTTTTGTTTTGTTATTGTTGTGTTGTATTGTTTTGTTTTGTTTTGAAATGTGTAACATTTTATTTATTGAAATATAATTGACATACAATATTATACAAATTTCAGGTGTACAACATAATGATTCGATATTTGTATACATTGTGAAATGATCACCACCATAAGTCTAAATAACATCCATCACCATAGACAGTTACAATTTTTTCTTGTGTTGAGAACCTTTAAGATCTACTCTCTTATGGGGTGCCTCAGTGGCTCAGTCAGTTAAGCGGCTGCCTTCAGCTCAGGTCATGATCCCAGGGTACTGGGATCAAGCCCCACATCGGGCTCCATGCTCAGCGGGAAGCTTGCTTCTCCTTCTCCCACTCCCCCTACTTGTGTTCCCTCTCTCTCTGTCAAATAAATAAATAAAATTTAAAGAAAAAACATCTACTCTCTTAGAGATTTTCAAATATGCAATACTGAACTGATGAATTGTTGAACATTATATCAAAAACCGATGATGTACTATATGTTGGCTAATTGAATTTAAATAAAAAAAATAGATGATAGGTATTGAGAAGTGCACTTCTGGTGAAGACTGACTGATACATGGAAGTATTCAATCACTACATTATACACCTGAAACTAATATTACACTGTATGTTAACTAACCTGAATTCAAATAAAAACTTAAAAAAAAAATGCAATACAGTAGTATTAGCTATAGTCACCATGCTGTATATTACATCTTTATGACTTACTTATTTTTTAACTGGATTATACCTTTTGACCCCCTTCACCCATTTTTCCTACTCTATCCCCAACCCCTGCTTCTAGCAACCACCAATCTGTTTTCTATATCTATGAGCTCAGTTTTTGGTTTTTGTTTTTTTAGATTCCACATATATGTGAGATCATATGGTATATGTCTTTCTCTGACTTACTTCACTTTAGCATACGTCCTCAAGGTCCATCCACGTTCTTGTAAATGGCAAGATTCCCTTTGTTTTTATGGATGAATAATATTCCATTCTATGTGAGCATGCATGTGTGTGTGTATTATTCTTTCTTTATCCATTTGTCCATCGATGGACACAGGGTGCTTACATATGTTGACTACTGTAAATAATGCTGCAGTGAACATGGGGTGCATATAACTTCCTGACTTAGTGTTTTTGTAACATTTTTAAAATATCTTATTTATTTAATTGAGAGAAAGAGAGAGCAAATGAGAGAGAGCATGAGCAGAGGGAGGGGCGGAGGAAGAGGGAGAACCATATTCCCCACTGAGTAGGGAGCCCAAAGCGGGGATCATCCCAGAACCCTGGGATCATGACTTGGGCCGAAGGCAGACACTTAACTGTGCCACCCAGTCACCCCAATAACATTTTTGATAATTCATTCTCCCAACTGGATTTGTTGTTCATTGTTCTTACAAACAAAAATATTTGTTGAATTAATGAAAGAATGAATTCTACCTGCCATAACTTGTAGTAATTCTCGAAGATGGAATATGGATTAAAATGGTTTTCAAGTTTTAAAGGAATATTTAACCCAGTATTTGCCTTGGCTGTTAAATCCTTTTTCCTTTTAATCAAAATTTATTCCATTTCTACTTTTCATTGTGAAAAAAAGTTGGAAAAATTTTTAATTCTCAAGGAGTCATTTTGAAGTCAATCACAAATAAATCTAACAAGTTTAAGAGTCCCATGAATGGTTGAGTAAATCTGCTAGATTGTTTGACTGTGATGACTAATTTATGTTCGTATTTCTGATGCAAATAACTATGTCCATATGAGATAAAAATCAATATATTTTGCAAATTTTTAAAAAAGTTTAATAGTGAAATGTACCCTTATTTATGTATTTTCAAAGAAAAGTGGTATGATTAAAAACAAATTATACATTATATGTTAAAAAAAGAAGATAGTAGGAAGGGAAAAATGAAGGGGGGGAATTGGAGGGGGAGACGAACCATGAGAGACTATGGACTCTGAGAAACAAGCTGAGAGTTCTAGAGGGGAGGAGGGTGGGGGGATGGGTTAGCCTGGTGATGGGTATTAAAGAAGGCACGTTGTGCATGGAGCACTGGGTGTTATATGCAAACAATGAATCCTGGAACACTACATCAAAAACTAATGATGTAATGTATGGTGATTAACATAATAAAATAAAATAAAATAATTGTGAATACTGTGAAATATATGAACTAAATATTTTTTATTGTTTTTCTTTTCCCTGAGTTAAAAAATAGAAAAATGGTAATATCCTTTGGATATGAATTATCTTTGAAAACTGGGAAATATATATGTCTTGAGAGTTTTTGTCTGTTTTTCTCTTAATTCAGTGGCCTCAAAGACTTAGACAATTCTTTGTCATTCTCTTTTCAGGAACTTTCTACAACGAGACAATGACTTGATGTGAAACTCAGATCCTGTATTGTTGTACAAAATGTTGAAAATATATTCTTCCATTGGTCAAATCATAGCTTTTATTTGGAAGTTAAGGGCACTTCTGTTATAAATTCAAAATATTTTTCCTTCACCTGTGTCATAGACAGTGTTTCTCAATCTAATGACATGGATGGCTGTGTTTTTGCTTTGTTTTTGTTTTTGTTTTGTTTTGTTTTTTGCCCGGTAGGGCATGTTTATAGACTGTGGAACTATTACCTGATCAAGTGTGAAACAATGGAGCTATACAACTGTATCTCATTTGCTATGTACACTGAGAGTCTACAACACCCAGATTGGATTGACTAAAAGGCTGGGTGATAACTGATGGCCAAACAAACTTATTTTTAGGTAGACTGAATAAGTCTGTGCCTTTGAAGAAAGACTTTTGATAGATAGAGATAGAGATAGATAGAGATGATAGAGATGATAGAGATAGAGATGATAGAGATGATAGAGATAGAGATGATAGAGAGATGTGTATAGATATAGGTGAAACCTGGATAAAAGTAACATTGAAAGTAAGTTTTTAATTCTCTATGTCATAACAACAAAATGTTATAGAAATGGTTTTTCTACTTAAGAAATGTAATCTTTCACATCCTCATAAATAGACCCATGTTCATGGAAGCTTCCATGAAGGGAGACTATACAGAGCAAAGGAGGTTACACTGTCGCACCTAGTTTCAGAAGACGTTGGCCTTGATCCTGATTCTGTTACTAGTGCTTACGTAACTCTACAAAAGCCAATTACTTTTCTGAGGGGTGTGTGTGTGTGTGTGTGTCCGTGTATTTTTTTACCTGCAAGATAAGATGCATGGCCCTGCTGCCATTTAATGTCTGGTTTTGGCAAGTTTATGACAGTACTATTTAATTGAATCAAACATACTTTACCTATTTTGACACGTTTAAATAAAATATCTTAATTTTATATTGTTACCTGAATATATCATTTGATTTTAGGAAAAAACATTGATATTTCCTTATATCTTTTTTCTTATTTCATCAATAAAATGTCCGCTCCTGCCGTTTTTATTAGGGAAAATTCAGATCTATAAGAAGGCTCTGTGGGTTCAGCTGTGTTTAGCATCAGTTTATGCTAAAAATTAAATTAGTTTGAAATTATGTCTGGTTGTTTTTTTCCCTTATTGGGCTGAAAAAGTTCTTCAATATAAGAATGGTGGTAAAGAAGAATGCCATGTCTAGTCATGAAAATGCAATAAGAATATAAGAGAGCTGACTAAAAAATTTTAGTTAAAATGCTTTGAGTAAAATGACCTCACAGGAAAAAATTTACCCCAATTCATTACTGACTTAAAGGTCAGCTGCTTGATACAAATGTCAAATGAAATAATGTGCAGAAGAGTATGGTACACAGGATGAAATTATTCAAATTCAAAAATTCTTGGAAAGGTGGTTTACTTTATAATTAGACTAGTGATAAGGTTTGATCTATTATCATTTGGTTGTGCTTAAAATAAAAAAAGCCAAATAAATTTTGAATAAATGAAAAGATTTATTATGCATTGTACTGAATTAAAAAATGTGATTCAATTTATATGAAACACATATACTTGATAAATAAATACATAGATATATTAAAGTGCCATTGCTTTTTGTTGACTTAAATCTAAACATTATCTAAATAAAAGCAAGAAATTTAAAAATATTAAATTACTAACCAATTGAAACACTTTTTTTTTCATTTCAGTCTAGAATTATTAGTTTTTACAGCTAGTTGTATGCATATTTGTGAGGTATATGAAAAAAAAATAATTCTAAGCCAGAGAGATTGCTTCCCTCATTGACAATTGAGTAGAATTGTCCCTTCCGTCAATCCCATCTGGGTCTTGTAGAGTCTCAATGTACAGAGCAGGTAAAATAACTATTCTGTGGCTCTATCAGTTCACCCTTAATCAGGTAATAGTTCCAAAATCTGTGGAAGTGTCCTATAGGGCCAAAAATAAAAAGAGGGTATCACTTCCACATAACTGAGTTCCATGAACAAAACAAAAACCATATTTTGTTTTCAAAGTTAACATTTTACTAGAAGGGGAACAGATAATCTAAACAGGTATAAAAGCAAAAGAAGAGGATTCTAGAGTTATGATGAAGATGTAGGAATATATTGAAAAATCCAAAATTCTGAGACATTAAATAGTTCTGTGGAAATAAACCCAGCATGATATTGAATGTTCAGACACTGAACTCAGTTTTGGGAAGTCCCTTATAATTTTAGATGTTGGGTCACTGGCACGGTAGTTCAGTAGAAGCCAGAGAACCCATATCCACCGTAGCACAGAGGGTGGCAGCAGCCGTATGTGTGGCCCCTCCAGCCACAGCCATGGCCCAGTCTGGGGAAGCTGTCCCATCCCCAGCCATATCCACAGTCCAGGCCACCAAATCCTCCACAGCCATAGCTTAGGCCTCCATACCAGTTGCTGTAGTAGCTCATGGTGTCAGGGGTGGTGAGTTGTTTTTCTGTTCAAAGCAAGATTTTGAGTATCAGTGGCAGCATGTGTAGAGTGATGCTTATATTCCCTGAGCAGATCATGTGGTAAAATACATACCACCTATTTTTGTGTCATTCTATGTGTTATCCCTGTCTGACACGATCCTGACATATGAAGAGGCCCTCAAGCTCATTAAAGTGTTTGAGTTTGCATTGTTGCCTAGTCATGGTGTCCCTTAAATATATTGCATCTTTTTTATGAGAAAGAATTGCTCTATTTTCAAAGTTTGGACATCCCAGACAAAATAAAATTCCTCATAGCCAGGCATATTACATAACACATTTGCTAGTGTTATGTTTTAAAATTAAATATTGCATCATCTTTGACTTACCTTGACTTGTTATTTTTCACTTAAGATTAAATGAAAGAAATTGGTTAAATTCAAGGTGCTAAAATCTACTATATCCACTCAAAGCCATCTAATACTTCATAGTAGTCTTTTTGCAAAGCTAAAGAAACATTTGAAAGTCTGGGGGCGTCAGCTCACCTGCTGTGAACACCAGTATAGAACTTCAGGAAAAAAATAATGTTGAAATAGAGCTATCTTTTTTCTGTTATTTTATAACATTGGCCATCATAAAAATATTCTCTTTTCTGATTTTACCTACTAGTTTGGAAAATGAACATTTGGATTAACAACGTGAAGTAATATTGTTCAAATATTAAAGGCAAATCAGAATAATCAAAAATCTATTTCATAAGCAACATTCATAATTGTTCAAAATTCCTTTTTTCACATCCCGATTCCCTTTCTGGCATATCATCTATCCAAAAATAAATTACATCTGTCTCCTGCCATACAGACACTTTTTCCTCCCTTTCCTCTAATCCAATCAGTTTTCAAATATCACTTTCTCTTAGTTCCTCTCAATCCCCACTAGGGTCGGGGAAATAGGTGAAATAATGAAATAGATACAATATATACAATTTATCTTTGGCTTCCCTCCATTTTTTATCCAATTCATACTTAAATTCTTCCATATATATCTTCACTCTTACCGTAATATTTTTTGCCTTTGTATTCTCTTTGCCTATTGTTTTTTTATCTTATTTTATTTAAGTTCAATTAATTAACATATAGTGTAACATTAGTTTCAGATGTAGAGTTCAGTTATTCATCAATTCCATATAACATCCAGTGCTCATTACATCTCTTTGCCTATTGTGTGTGTGGTTTTGTTTTTTTTTCTGTTTCAGAAAATAGCTAATAGCTTCGTGTCTGCTAAGATATGAGATGCTTATTAAGATCTTAGATGCTGAGGAAAAAAATGCCTAATACCCTGTGAAGTTCAGTAAGAGGCTGTTAACATTGGAAATGTCTTCAGAATCTCCAAAAATGTAAGTATAATGTAAAAAGACAGGGTAGAGAAAGACAAATTGAAGACAAAAAAGTCCTGCAGCTTACTCCAAGAAGTTAATCACCTATCCCCAAGGCTCACCTAAATCCTGGTTGAGCCCCATCAGATATGCTCTTAACTTGAGCTGAACATCTAAATTCTTTTTAAACTTTCATGGTTTCAAATATACTGTCCAGATTTTTTGAGCTTTAAGCAATTATCAAATGATGTTTTTTCCCAGCTGGACTTGTTGACTGCTGAACAACTACTAGCATGCTGCAGAAAATCAATAAGGAAGAGCTGAATGGGTGAATGCGCTCTAAGGTTCTTGCAGGTAAAGATCACGTCTTCCGTAGAATGGATATCTCTATAAATGCATCTGAGGATTTAAAGGACGAATTGGCTCAAATAGTTTTCCTGCTTTAGAGAAACATAAAGCCATCATTTCATTTGATTTTGTCGTTGTTGTTTAAAGCATATTATAAAATACCCAAGTCCTAAGTGTACAAGTTAGTGATATTTTGCTTTTATTCACAGACCACCTATATCGATCACACCCAAGCTCTCCAGATTTTCTCTTGACCCTACCAGTTAGTATTACTCCCTAGAATTTTGCCTGATCTGGACATCACATGAATGGCATCAGATGGTATACCAGCAGCTTTTCTCTCCTGAATGATTTTGTACATCACTGTCTCTGTGAGACACATCGTTGTTGTTGCATGTAACATTAGTTTTGTTGTTTTCATTACTGCAAAGTAGCCCATTTCTCCAAAGTAACCCTAAAGCACAATTTATTTACTATTTTGCTCTGGTAAATCTGTATTTGGGTAGTTTCCTTTCTTTCTTCCTTTATTCCTTCCTCCTTTCACTCCCTCCCTTCACCCCCTCCTTCCTCCCTTCCTTCCCTCCTCCCTCTCTCCTCCCTTCCCTCCTTCCTCCCTCCCCTCCTCCCTCCCTTCCTTCCCTCCTTCCTCCCTTCCTTTGCTCCCTCCTTTCTCCCTTTCTTCCTTCCTTCCTCCCTCCCCTCCTTCCTTCCTTCCTTCCTTCCTTCCTTCCTTCCTTCCTTCCTTCCTTCTTGCCTTCCTTCCTCCCTCCCCTCCTTCTTGCCTTCCTTCCTTCCTTCTTGCCTTCCTTCCTCCCATCCCCTCCTTCTTCCTTCCTCCCTTCCCTCCTTCCTTCCTTCCTTCCTAATATGAATAAAGCTGCTATGTAGCTTTTACTAGAGATTCTTTTTTTAGACCTAGGCATTCTTTTACTTTGGGTATACATAGGAGACACATTGCTAATTTATACTATATATTTAGCTTCAGTAGATTCTACTAAATAATTTTCCAATACAGTTGCTAAATTTACAATACCACCAGCAGTCTATGAGAGTTCTAGTTGTTCCACATCCTTACCCACATTGGCCATTTCAGCATCTTAATCTGATCATTTTTAGGGTACATAGTGATATCTGAATATTGTTTTAATTTGGTTTTCCTGATCAAAGATGACGTTGGGAATTTTACATATGCTTATAAACCACTTAGATATCCTCTCTTTTGAAATGCCTATTCAAGTAGTTTGTCCATTTTTAAGTGGGCTTGTTTAATATTAATCAATTAATCAATATTTTATAATTGATTAACAGGAACTCTTTAGATTTTTGGGTATTAGCATTTTGTCAGATTTATGTATTAAAATTATTTTCACCTAGTATGTGGCTTGGTATTTTTCCACTTAAATTCTGTCTTTATATGAACATAATGTTGTAATATAACAACAACTAATTCATTCCTCTTTTTCTTTTATGTTTAATGTCTTTGGTTCTAATTAAATTTTTGACTACCTCACACAATGTTATTTAATTCTTTTTGTCTCTTTTCTTCAGAACTTTTTTCATTTTCGTTGATCATTCTAAAAATAAAAAGCAGTCAATAATTTGAATATTTCATTCTCATTCAGTCAAGCTGAAGCCATAAAATTACAAATAAGTCAAACAGGTTTCATTCATTATGTCACACTCTGCCTATTTGACTACCAGATATGCATCAGTTTTGGGGTTGGTGAACTTGCTGTGATGTGTTCTCCCTAACATAAGTAATAGCTTTTCCCTGGAAATAAAGATATGCTGGAGCATTTCTCCAAATCCAGCAGAGATCCATAAAAACAGTCATTTCAAATTCTAATAATATAATATTATACTAGAAACATCAAATATCTGCTCCAAGTGGTGGTATTGATTATTCTTCTTTATAGCTACAGAAGCCCTTTCTCCAAATTCTGGAGAAATGCTATTAACCATTAAGAAAATAGAATAGTGAACCATGAGAGACTATGGACTTTGAGAAACAAACTGAGGGTTCTAGAGGGGAAGGGGGTGGGGGATGGGTTAACCTGGTGATGGGTATTAAGGAGGGCGCGTTCTGCATGGAGCACTGGGTGTTATATGCAAGCAATGAATCATGGAACACTACATCAAAAACTAATGATGTAATGTATGGTGATTAACATAACATAATAAAATTTTTAAAAATGGATAAAAAAATACAAAGAAAAAAAAGAAAATAGAATAGCTATTGTATTCTGTCAAGCTAAATAGTATAGTCATCCAAGGTAGTCATCAAGCTATTACTTTCTCTGATCTAGCCAGTGTAAAGCTAATATACTATGAGTAGTTTGACTAAAAGTGACTATCTGGCTGAACAAATCTATTTTTATATTTAGTAAATAAGTCTGAGTCTTTCACATCCATCTTAAATATTTTAAATAACATTTGAACTTAGCATTGCTTGCTAGTTATTTTTTTCAGATCCAGCTAAACTAGAAATTAATAGCTTCGAGATTCTGAATCAAAGCTAATGCCACTAAACAAAATTAGGTGGTTATGTGGAAAGCAGATTAATCCTCATAAACTCTGTGTTTATATTATTATGATAATTGCAGGGACATGTAACCAGAACTTCAGGACTGTTTCTTTGAAAGGACACAAGAAGGGAAATGCACTGTGAAAGAGAAAGTCAGAATTCAGTTAAATAAATAAATAATATAAGCCATATGTTCCATTTTAAATTAGCATAATTTATTGCAAAGGGAACTGAGAAATTCCACAGTTATGAAAGTGCTTATAGGGGATACCAGGAGACATGAAGCAGGCAAATAGAAAATAATAAATAGTCCTAGAATCTAAGATGCTAAATACTTTTCATCTTCGCTTGGTCCCGGCTGATATTGCTTGGTTCAAGTTTTGGTTAATTTGAGTTAATCACCTGATGGCCTCAGATTTTGGACTTCCAGGGCAGGATTTCAGTAGAAGTTAGAGAATCCGTATCCTCCACAGCACAGTGGGCGGAAGCAGCCGTATCCATAGCCTCCCCAACCCCAGCCCAGTTGGGGGTAGCTGCCACATCCCCAGCCACTGCCACAGCCCAGTTGGGGGTAGCTGCCACATCCCCAGCCACTGCCACAGCCCAGTTGGGGGTAGCTGCCACATCCCCAGCCACTGCCACAGCCCAGTTGGGGGTAGCTGCCACATCCCCAGCCACTGCCACAGCCCAGGCCGCCATAGTAGTTGCCGTAGTAGCGCATGGTGTCCAGAGTGTTGAGTTTGGTTTGCTGTA